CTTCTCGGACAAGGGCGAAAAATCTCGGAGGGCCCGTGTGCAAGCTGCGCACGTTAAAGATCCCTTGGTGGTCTAAAATCGATAAGAGTAGGCTTCGGCCACCACCCGAGCAAAATTCAAAATTTCCTACCAACTAAAAGTATTAGGTGTGTCCCGCGCGTTCATATGACCTTATGCAGTTGCGAGCGCCGTAAAAATACTTACCAAAAAAAGAATGCTTAGCATATTTTCGCATGACGAAGGCAAGCTTCCAAAGCCTTTTGTAATTATGTGGACCACATTTTCAAAACCAGAATACGAACTGGAGGAAGGCCATTCCACCAATTGAAAGGTTGACAGTTACATTGATGTAAGATGTTGCTGCTGCTGCTGCTGTTGCTGCTGTTGCTGCTGTTGCTGCTGTTGCTGCTGCTGCTGCTGCTGCTTACTACTTGCTGCTTTTGTTGTTGTTGTTGTTGTTGTTGTTGTTTTGTTGTTGTTTTTTCGCTTTTGTCCTTGTAGTATATGACCTACGTAAATGGTCTCTACCGTATCCGTCATTTAAGTAAGAGCCCACTCTGTGCCTCCCAAAGAACGTGTTCTTTTCAGGCACATTCGTCTACTTTGAAAAAAGGGAGCAGAAACAAACAAATAACAAAACGACTTTTAAATCCAGAATAACAAATTCAATCATTAACAATGATATAAACTGTATTGACTATTCTTAAATCAACATGTCAAACGAAGAAACAACAACAAAAAAGTCACAGTTTGGAGATTGATAATACTGAGATCACAGTCAAGTGGCATTAATTTAATTTTAGAGGTAAAAGTGGGCAAACAAAAGATAATCAACTTTCTTCTAAAAGGCAACAAATTTCTTTAAAATTCAACTTTTTTTTTAAAATCAACAGACAACTAAAATGCTGCTAATATTAACAAAAATGTTCAGTTTGATTAATGATATTGGTAATGATCCTGCGAACTGTTAGACCTGTTGTCACTTGTGCTTGTACCAGAGCGTGCCCGTGGCTGGACATACGCTGCAGAATAGCCTTCTCATGGTGTACTGGTTGCCTTGGAGTTTAAGTTAAGGGGTCGAGGGATTTGTGAATCTGTCAACAATAGTACCGGTCGCAGTAGTTCTGGTTTTCCCCCGCTCCACATAAGTTGAAAGGAGCCCCGTCACCTCATGTTCGAATTTCAAACTCTCTATGGGGTCGAGCTCTTTGGTTTGAGCCCCCTCCACAAAAGTCCATCGGCGCCATCCTCGTATTCCGGCTCTTTCAATGTCGATCGGGTTGCAGGACGGCATTTTCCTCCTTCCAGTATTGATTGGGGGGGGGACACTACACTGGGGGGGTTACACTGGCTTGCTGTTTCGTGTAGTTGAGTTATTTCGTCCTGTTCTGAAGTTTGACTTAGGTTGCTTGGGCTCGGTAGGTCGAAATTTCCAGAGTCTGCTTGGCTGTCAACTGTTCCTTTAGTATTTAGTATGGCGTTGCATAAGGTCATATCAGCGCCAAATGTTTCTAAATTGCTTGCAGTACTAGGGTTTACCATGAATGTCTTTAGAAAGACATTGCGTCAAACAGAGTTCGTTTCTTTTTCTTTTCAGCGCCCTGTCCGGATTTACCACACAGCATAATTGTTTTGTTTTTGTTTTTTTGCCGTCTGTAGTAATCTCTCAAGTACGTCCATTTTTTTTTTTTGGGGGGGGGTATGTCAGCTGAAAAAAAAAACGACCAAAAAAACCCAAAACAAAACATTATAATAATGTGATGCAGAGAGAGAGAGAGAGAGAGAGAGAGAGAGAGAGAGAGAGAGAGAGAGAGAGAGAGAGTCTGAGAGAGAGATAGAGAGAGATAGAGAGAGAGAGAGAGAGAGAGAGAGAGAGAGAGAGAGAGAGAGAGAGAGAAAGAGCACAGATATGCTGACAGGAAGTCCCACAGACAGACAGACAGACAGACAGACAGACAGACAGACAGACAGACAGACAGACAGACAGACAGACAGACAGACAGACAGAGGGGGCGACCACTGAGCCGTACACGCCTGCTCGGCGCCATTTTTTTACACAGTCGGACGGAGTCGCTCTGTCCTATGGGATCACCACTTCCGACTTAGCTGCTCGTCCGTTTCGCGGTGCACTTCAGGTAGTTGAGAATCTTTGCTTTAGTAGTGCGTGGCAAACGGGGAATCAGGCTTACTCTGCTCACCTTTCGAGTCTCGACAGCACAGAGTCTGCTTCGACTATCAGGGCACCCCGGAAATAGCAGTTCACAAGAGAGTGACAAACATACAAAAGAAGTAGAGGACAAAATTATCAGCAGTTCCCCCTTTGTTGTTCCGGCACAGTATGGGCTTGACAATGATAACCCTATGTGTCCACTGAGACGGACACGGCCCGAACTTTTTCCGGGAGGAAGAAAATCGGTCGGGTCGTTTCCGTCTTTATAGTGTGTCCACCAGTTCGGACTAGACACATCTAGTCTGTTGGCCTACTTGCCGTCTTATTTCATTCCTGTGTCCCAAGGCTGTGTCCTCGGTACATGGCTATAAATGGTCAAGGTCAATGAACCCAAGGCGGAAATAAGAAATGAATGGGTTTTTTAATGAAAATTGGGAAAATTGTTAATACACATGTATGCAGTTAAACCAGGTGGTTTCAACTTTGCTATTTTTGAGACGCTGATTTCGAATATGACTTTAGAATTTTAATCCGAACTCAAAATCAGAAATTTTTTTAGCTCCGGCGGGGCATAAGCTCAAGAGGCAAGATCCGGCCTGGCTAAGGAATGCAGCAAGCGACTTTCCAACCGACACGTCTTTTGTCGGGGTGTGCCGTGTCGTGTCTGTTGACACAGCCAAACGGACTTTTCACTGATTCCTTAGGAAATAATCGGTGTTTCATTTCAACTACCGACTTTCCGAGAGACAGACAGAATATCGGGTCGGTTGGTATCCGTCGCAGCGGACACGGGGCCTAAATCAGCCCATTCACAATTCTACTGTGCATAAGAACATGTTAATACCCCCCCCCCTTTGAGAATGGCCTAAAGACACATCATTGACGGTTTAATACTAAGACAGACCCGAAACACACAACACGTAACACGTGCCATCAATAGTGTGACTTTTTTTGTTTAACAATTAATGTGGCTTGACTAAGCCAGCAACGCGCAAATGTATTCTCTTTTCTCTCTTACCTTGTTATAACTTGACATGAAATTCTATTTTGTTTGGTATCTAGATATAGATCTAGATCTAAGTAAAAATAGAAAATAACAAAAGGTACACACTAGATTCTAGTACTCATTATTACAGAGTTGTTAATCTCATGGCTATCTGCTAAAAATATTGCACACACACACACACACACACACACACACACACACACACACACACACACACACACACACACACACACACACACACACACACACTCACTCACAAACACAAAAAGAAACCCTTGTATGAAGTCAATGGTTTATTTGTTAGCATTTTCTTAGAACCAAATCATCTTGACTTAATTGTTCCGTTGATTTAAAGCGAAAGGGATTCTTGTTTTAACAAAAGTTTCACGGTTCCCTTGGTTGCATTTAGTTGATACAGGGGACACTACTCATAATATTTGCACTTCCTGAATTTATAGACAAACAGGAGGCTGATAGATTCGGAATTGAAGAAAACGAGTGTCCATTAATCTTATTTTACGGGTGGGTGGGACTGTATAGTGAAACATGGGTAAGTGTGATTATATATATTTGGCATACCTGTAATTAACAACCACTTTTAAATAGAATCATCATTATAAAGCTTAAATATAAATAAAGTAAATCTCTAGATTCTAGATCTAGATTCTAGATTCTAGATCTAGATCTAGATCTAGTAGATCTAAAAATCTAGAGATCTAGAATAGATTAGATTTCTTAATTTCTAGATTTACTAGTCTAGATCTAGATCTTCTAGATATCTAGATTCTAGATCTAGATCTAGTTCTAGATCTAGATCTAGATTCTAGTGCCAGATCTGAAACAGACCTCGATCATAGTTCTCCATCATTCATTTATTTCTCTGCTCGGATGCTCTCAAAAAACAATTATTATTATCTTAGAGTTTCCTCGTCAACCATCATCTAGATCTAGATATCTAGATTTTTTTAGATCTTGATCTAGATATAGATCTAGATCTAGATCTATTCTATGCAGGTTTTGAATATATGATTTTCTGAACCTATCCTGACTCGTAAGCCTTCTATTTTTTTCCACTGAGACACGAGAAGAAAAATGTTCAAAGACAAGGCTTTATCATTCTGCTTTACATCTGTTCAAGTGTCCTGCTAGTCCTAGTAGTTAGAAACTGCTTTTGTTGTTTCCTGCTCATTAAATTAATAGTGAGTGACCTCTGTGGGCTTCTTTCATATCGTCCTACAGTTTGATCTTTTTTTCGCAGTGACTTCGTTCAACACGCCGTGAACATGCACAGTATGTTCGCGGTGGCCTGAATGTAGTTTGTGTATTATTCAAGCTTTTCCCTGAGGCTGCATTAATGCTGTCAAATTAATGTTGATTTTTAATTTTCCTTTTCTGCGCTAACCATCCATTTCTTTGGTGGTTTTTTACTCATGCACCCGTCTCATGTAAACGTTTTATTATATATTTTCAAGTAGTATTTTGCATGCATGCTGAACACAAATATGGCCTTCATTTTTGCCACAAATCAATGGTTATTGAGTTATTGATGTTTGAAAATTGTACTATTTGACTTGATTTTAACTACCGACCTAAAATGAATCTGCGAGGTTTCAGGGGGGCAGCCCTGCATTTCACAATGATTTGATGTTTTGGCAATTAGGATTTATATTTAAGCCAACTTGAAAACGACTGATTTGCAAGGGTTTTCACGGCCGTATGTGTGTTCTGCAGCAAAAATTATGGCAGTTTAGCCTCCAAATCAATGCATCTGTGTGTGGGTGCATAAGTAAAAATTTACCATTTCTTTTATTTTTATTGTAAATTACTCCACTTTGCCACTTGTCCGATAGCGATTTAAGATCTATATCTAGGACTAGGAGACTGACTTGGCAATGGGTTCACGAAGTGTGAAGTGGGGAATCTTAACAACTGTGATTGAGAATACAAGCCGAGCAAGCTGTTCTTCATGGGCGTCAGTATCAGTTTGTTCAAATCGATCATCAGTTTTCACACCTGGTTTTGTTTCTTTCGCTTGACAGTTGACAGCAGTTTCTTTTTCACTGGAAATCTGACGTCAAGAATTTTGTTGAGATTCCCGACTCCGCGGCTGTAGCTTACTCTCATTGATTTTGGACCACGGATCTTTAACATGCGCAACTTGAACGCGAGACCTCCGAGATTTTTTGCCTTTATCCGAGGAGGCTAGGTATTAGATCTTCACCTACTCTAAGATCAGGGGTGTGGCTGAAAGGCAGCAATGAGAAAGAGCCAAGGAGTAGCAGTAGAAAGGCTGCAGAAAGAGTCATAAGCCTGGAGGAGTGGAACAAAAGCAGACAACAAAACGTTGTAAGAGAGCAGGAAAGGAGGTGAAAGGAGAACATTTTAGAGAAGAAAATTTTCCAAAGCTGTCCGGTTTCAAACCCGGGATCTATTGAATGAAAGGCGAACACGGTACCTCTAGACCACAAGAGCCCCTTTGGCCGCTGTCTAAATTATCAGCAATTGCTCTGAGCAGTATAGATATATGCACTTGAATTTTTATATTTTGATTTTTTGGTTCGGATGGCTTCCTAATACAGTGGTATCCACCTAATTGTAGTAACCCCTCTGGGGAAGCAACCTTTGGTTTTTGTTAGACGGTGGTTGCTGCTGACTGAATTGGCAAAACGGTTTGAAGGGGGTGGGTGGGTGAGAGGTAAAAAATATAATTGGAGATTTAGAACAAACATTTAAGATATTAAAAAGTTGACTTATTTTATCAAAACTACATTTTAACACAAGAAACAATTTAATATGGTCCAACAGGCGGGTGAGCATGTTTCAAGATTCACAGCTGTGGGATGAAATCTACAAGCTTACACTGAAATGTAGGGGCAGAGTGGTGTTACTGTATCAAAATGAACAGTCTGTAGGCTAGATTGCTGTAAATCAGTTATCTTTAATATCCTGTGTATGCACCCAAAGACCAGTTGGGTTTTTTGGGGGGGGTTTTTTGTCACTGGTCCACAGAAGTGCCATGCAAATTTTCATGGGCATAGATAGGTTAATAAAATTCTAGCTAATTTAAATGACCCAAAAAAAATTTTCGCTGACATATAAAAGTAAATAAGCTATAAGTAGACACCACTGCTGTATCTAGCCCTTTACTGTTTCCTAGAGGGACTGAGATATAGTTTCTAAAGGCTGGCTCTCAAAATTCATTTCACAGCTGTTTTCTGAGTCTCCCTACTTATGTCACATTTACATTTTGAATTTATCAAGCAGTCTGTCATATTTCATGACCAATTTTTATTTTTATTTTTATTTCGTGGGAATAGTTTGTTACATCCGAACAATGTATGAAAGTTATAAAAATTAGAGCCTGTCTCAGTTGAATGTAATACACACAGTCATTGCATGTTCAGATTCAGGAATTGTGGCACCTGTAAGAATTTAGTTCTTGACTCCAAAAAGTATAGAGTCGCTATGGCTAAAGCAGATACTGGTAACTGACGAAAAATATAACAAGAAGAGAAAGTCCTTATTCCAAAAGATGCTTGGTTTTGTTTTTTTTCATTTCAGCTGCAATGGAGCTTTCGGGGGAACTCCAGACGGAGCATGTTCAGTTTCCGGCCCACACACGCTTAATGGATGAAATTGCTATGGAAGTGCGCGAAACAGCTGGCCAGCAGGAGCTTACAGATGCTCAAGTTGCAGAGAAAGTAGAGACAATTCTATTAGACAAAATCAAAGATGGAGACAAATCAGCAAATTTCCAGTTAGGCTTGTTGTATTTTCACCAGGTAGGCCTACAATAAATTACTTTATTATAATGGAAAATCAGGAGCTTGTTCAGCAAGGTACCGAAAAAAGAAACTGAAGCCCCTGTAACTCAAGAAGTGTATCAATAGAGGTCCACAGAGCAGCCTGTTGAGTCTTCAACAGAAATGATATAAAAATATTGTGTTGAAATAAGGACACCAATTTGTTGCACTATTGTTTTACTAAGGCAATGTAAAAGTGTATTGATAATAATTCGCAAAGGTCAGAGATATCTTACTTGGCTGAAAATATTAATTTCTGAAGTAATTTCTTTTATTGTTTATTGTAGAAAATGTTTCATCCATTTTCTGTTACTATGTTGGGAAATGGCTGTACATTTTATTGCATGGTTTCTCAAGCGTCAGGTTGTATAGTAGCCTACTCTGAAGAGCTCTGGAATGTGGTGTAAAAACTCTAATGATGTCATGGTTGGTTTATTGTTTCAGTTTTTCAGTTGAGAAGATGATGTTAAGAAAAATTTTAGCTACCATAAGGGGGTCGTCTACAACTAAAGGTTTGAGCCCTGATATAGTGCCTTAAGTGCAAAAAAGAAATTGGTGGTAAGTGTTCATTTGTATTCTCCAAGCTTACTTATTCTGTATGCGTTGATTTTTACTAAATAGTAATAGTTGTTGGATTCATTTCAGACAAGTGTTTGTACTTAGATATTGTAAATTTCAGGAACCACAATGTACAATTCTAATGATGGGGTCCTTACAACCATGAGATATTCCTTCTTTTTCAGGATCAGTTTGACAAAGCAAAGTCCCTGTTTGAACGATCAAAAGATTATGACTACCAGTCTCTTTTCATGTACGGAATTATGAAATATGATGGACTTGGAATGGAGGTTGACATGGTAACATGATTTTTATAAGTTTTGAGTTGTTATAAACAATGATTTAAATGCATCTTTGCAGCTTCTTCATGCTTTCTTTTTACTGAACTGCTCATCCACCCTCCTTCTTCTGTCACACTCTTTCTCTTTCTCTCTCTCTTTCTCTCTCTCTTTCTCTCTCTCTCTCTCTCTCACTCTCTCTCTCACTCTCTCTCTCTCTCTCTCTCTCTCTCTCTCTCTCTCTCTCTCTCTCTCTCTCTCTCTCTCTCTGTGTAAATAATAGCCTCCATGGTTCCTATATATTATCAAACCTCGTTGTCCCCCCCCCCTCCCCCCTCCTCCGTTATACTGCCAGCCCCACTTGCAGCCTGGTTTTGCGAATGTACAAAAATAATCCCTTAAACATAGTATTTGTGCCTTTACACCACCATCTGCCATCCACCAACTGTCTCAGTTGTGTGGTACTTATTAAATTACAAAGTTATGTTTTATTTTAATTGTACTCTTCTACATTACCCATCGTATTGTACTGTGTTTGCTTGCAACACACTATATCACTGTAGATGTATCCATATTGCTTGAAATCTACGAGACAAGGGTGGGGAGGTTGATGGTGGGATGCATTGTCTGGTGTATGTCTGTACCGTGGTTTTATGCACCCCGCATAATTTAGCAAAATTTGATCATTTTGTGCCTAATTTCTTATTATTTTCCTTTATCATTCTTTGTTAAAATTAACAGAATCACATAATTTCATATTTTTGGGCTCAGTTTGCATAATTTCTTATTTTCTCTTGCATAAAACTACGGGGACAGGTATGTGTGTGGGATGGGGCGGAAGGGGGTGGGGGGGGGGGGGGGTTTAGTTAGGAAGGGATACAGAAAGAGAGAGAGAGAGAGAGAAATTATATATAAACAAACAGACAGATAGACAAACTGACAGACTGGCAGACCTACGGAGATAATGTGAGGTGAGTATATTTGTGTAGTTAAAAAAAAAAAGAAAACAGTCTAACATGTGCCAGCCTGCTGATATCAAACTTTTCTGTTTGTTCATCAGGATGTGAAGTCAGCCTATGAAGCTTGTCCCATTTTTATTCTATTCCTTCTCTTGAACTGAGTACCATTTAAATATGTGCCCTTTCTAGATGTCTGCTTTTCAATTTAAAAATCTAATATATTGAAGAATCTTAATAACTCTTTCTTCCTTTCTCTCCGTTCTGATATGTAGCGAGATGGAATCAAGTGCATGATTCAGATCACCTCTTCTGAGTCTCGGCTGTGTAAGCATTTGGTGCCTGCTGCGAGGTACAACATTGGAAGAGCTTACTTTCAAGGATACGGGGGTCAACAATCAGATACAGAAGCAGAAAAGTAAGTCTTATTTGTTTTTAAAATGTCATTTTTGCTTGCATTTAAAACAAAAATACCCTTCAACTAGTATCTTTGAGTGTTTCTGAACATTACTTTTTCCTACAGTGGCATCAGTGGTATAGTGGTTAGGCTCTCGTACTCTCAACCGTAAGGTTAATAGTTTAAATCTCATCAGGGGCAGAACGTTATGTCTTTGAGAAAGGCACTTTACATTTTTGTTCCTTACTTCACTCAGGTGGGAATGAATACCTGGCTATAGCACTTAATCAGCTGCTTGCACTGTATCCTTTTTGTGAAGCTGAGAAGGTTTCTGAGTGTTAAAGGGTCTGCTGGGGTAATAATAGTTGTAAAGTGCATAGATGTGCTCTCTATGAATGCAATTATTATTATTATTAATTTTTATTATTACTTATTTTATTATTATTATTATTATTATTATTATTATTATTTAGGAAGACTAACTGATGCAGCTGATAGCTTGTATAGTTAAAGTATGTTTGCGGTGATAGCAGAGTGAGCTGCCTGTTCGTACGTCCCAGGTCTTCTGGTAGCACCTAGCCTCCAATCATACTTCAAACCGCTTATGGATTCTAAACATAAATTTCAAATAAGCGCCTTGCATATTTAACTTTATGTAGTGATTCATGTCTTTGTTTAAACTAAGATTGCTGTTTTACTTTAAGAAGTCAATTGTGCTACTTACAATTACATTTTTGTCTGTGAAGGTGGTGGCTCCTTGCAGCAGATGATGGAAACCCAAAGGCAAGCATTAAGGCTCAAAGTATCCTGGGCATGTACTATTCCAGACAGGACAAACAATGCCAAGATTTGAAAAAGGCTTTTTTCTGGCACTCAGAGGCATGTGGAAATGGAAGTTTAGAATCTCAAGGTAAAACTTGTTCACTACTTCCCTTCCATGATGCCTAAAATGTGGCTTGCACGTCTCATACTTTATAGCTGTGAGCCACCTGTTTTATCTAACAGAATCCTAATTTCTTCCCCTCCAGAGTTTTCTGACTCACACAAATTATTATTGTATGCTTAAATTACAGTACAGGTACTATTTTTCTTTAAATTATTTTATAAGAAATTCCACCCTTTGTTTTCCTATATCTTTTCTTTCACCTCCCCCCTCCCCCATGCCCAAATTAAGAAAAAAAATTCTTTGAAATTAGTATACACACTTTTTAGCAATAGGCCTTAATCAAACCAGCTCCTCATGGAGACAATTAGCAGGAAGACCGTGAGGTAGATGCTGGAAAGGAGAGATGAGCAGCTATGGACATGTGCCGCCTGCTCTGGATCCAAGTAAATCCAAGTAAATCCAAGGATTTCAATCTCACTGAAGTAAATGTCATATTAATGGCACATTATCAGCTTTTTGTTGTTTCAGTTGTGGCTACTAGTAAGGTACCCCTCTCTGAATAGGTTTGTGAGTAAGTAAAACTTGTATCATCTCTCTTCAGGAGCCCTCGGAGTAATGTACATGTTTGGCCTGGGTGTGCGAAAGGACAATGATGCTGCATATATCTGCTTGAAGGAAGCATCAGAAAGAGGCAATGTCTACGCCATGGGCAATCTGGTTGCATTGTTTTACAAAAGCAAATTGTACACTAAGGCGTGTGATCTTGGTTACAAGTAAGTAAGTACGTGACAGATACAGATCTATTAGTGTAATGTTGTAAGCTTTGACCGTGGAAAAAATGTGTCAACTATGTTTTTGTTCTAAAACCATTGCCAAGGTCAGTCTGCAGCTTTGAAGCTTGAGCTCTAAGTTCAGTCAAACACGGGTAACTTGAATTCGTCGGGGATTGGAAATTGTGTTTGAGATTTCCGTGATTCGTCCTGTCCGTGAAAACCCCAAATACAAATAAATAGAGAGAAAATCAAGGTGGGTAAAAAAAAGAACATTAAAACAATGTGGTTAGCTCCCTTGAAAGCAAGAAGATGAATGAAAGTGGAAAGCAGAAAGTCTCATGTGTGCACAGCCGACTCCTACGTCATTCCTTTCCTCTCATTTCATTGGCTTACACAAAAAGTTACACCTCTTGCCGTCTGCACCATGCATGTCCCACAGCATGATTGCAGTGTGGCAAGCCAGTCATGTGGTGCGGTCAGCATCGCTCCCCAACCCCCCCTTCCCCCCCCCCCTCCCCCCCCCCTTCCTCCAGCCTCTCTTAGTGAGACAAGAACCACGTTTTGGCTGTAACAATAACAAAGAAACACCTACCCACGGCCAGAAAGGCTGTAAAGCTGGGTTTTATGTTTTGAATGCAAAGTGGATTTTTTCGAGATTTGAGTGTTGCGTGTTTCGAGTGTTCGGGAACTCCGTGAAGTCAATACAAAGAAAACATAGGGACTGTAACGGGACCGTTCGAGATTCATGGACTGTACTGTAGGCCTATGTAAGTGTGAGCAAAGTTTTGTGTATTCTCTCATTATTTAAATCAGAAGCGTTTATTTTGATAGCATTAAGATTTTCAAGAAACCAGTTACTTGATGAAAGCATACCGCCTCTTGTATGTCAAATTTCTAAAATGTAAATTCTGATTCTAATTATACTATGCACATCAGGAAAGGCATCAAAAGGCTTCACTTTGTTAGACATGAATGGCACTATTTTATAGTGTTACAGATAAAGTCTGATTTTTCATGAAGGGAATAAAAGTTAGGTAATATATATATATATAAGCCGCGTGATTCAACTGCCTAAGTGACAAAATTTTCTAAAATCACTTTTTGATCCCTTTATTTAGTACAGCCTTTGATACACCTTATATTAATCCTCATCCTGCGGGAGCCGGGTTTATGTCGCCCGATAAGCCTATCAGCACCTCGCCCACGTTCTGGACCCGAATCAGTGTAGCCCCTGACTCAACGCACGCGCAGCGCGCATCCTCTTACGTATCGTTCGGGTCCCGAGTCGGATCCCCATTCACGCAGGTCAAGTGTGTGTGCGTCAGTCAGCTTGAGTTTGTGTGCGTTTGTGGCCTTCTTCTAGAACCACCTGCGTTGGTTTGTAATCGAGGAATACGTCTCATTCGAAACATGCCAAGTTGGTAGCTCTAGATGTTCGTCCAATGAAATTATAGAAGAAATTGACCCACTTAGACATGAGGAGCTTGAAAGGATAGTCAGGAAACAAGACTTCCATTTCTCTATACAAAATCTTTCAAATGAGCTTGGTTTTGTATGAAATGATACTACCTGATAAGAAATAAGCTTGTTTAATAGTTTTGAATACCATTGTGCAGGTGCAACAAAGAACAATTTGAGTGTAAGACATTCGGAAATTGACCTAAATTATCCCCTTTCGAACCTCAGGTCATTCATAACTACAAGAGCGTCCAGAAAGGTTATTCGAATTGGCGTAACTACTCGTAATGTCTTATCAGCTTGTGAGAGGGGGTTACTCATGTGTTTGTAACACTTTATAAATAGAAAGCTATGAAAGATAGAGCATTATTTTCATCATCGGTTAACACACTCCCGCGGTATTCATGGCGAAAACACACGTTTCCCGGAGCGCGCGCTGTACACCAACAGTACACACTGAGTGACCCTGGCGGCCTGCCCAGCACGTCCGACGTAATCGGTTGCTGATAAGATATGCATCTGGGCACAGACGCAGGATAAGAGTTAAAATCCCGAGTTTGAAAGATTACTGCAAACTGTTTCAATCGTTCAGTAAATCCATCGTCTATATCACACCAGTCCCCTATTTCCACGTGATTCAACAGTCCAAGTGCCAGTTTTGCAGCCCTGTGACGAATGGGTGGTTAAATCATGCAGATTTCGCAGCTTGTTAAGGTGTTCACCTGTCGCTTAGGCGGTGCGACCCACACGACTGTGACATTTGTCAAAACAGACTGGAGGGTAACATCAAAACAAAGTTCTGCCTTTACTAGCTTTGACTCATATCGAACCTTATCGATAGCCAAATGATTTTGTCAAGGCAGTTTCCGTAATCTTTCACTACGTTTGGTAGTCTCTTGTAGTTGAGAAAGGGCAAGATGGCATCAAAGAATATGTTAATACTGACTTGACCAAGTCTGTAAATTGTGGCAAAAGCTACTGACGAATAAATCTTTTAAAAAGTCTATGATTGACATGTAAGGGGCACTTATTTCACATTCGGTACAACAATTGGAAAATATTTTTATCGCGACTTTTCGCATTTTTTAATTTGCTTTAAGTGTGCGCCCCTTGCTGTGTCTGTCATGTACCATTCTTGAATCATTGATTAGTTAATCAGTGCTGGGTAGATGATACTTAATTTGTCACTCGGAAAAAAAGCAACTCATAAACATATTTGCCCCGAAAATTGTCTCTTCAACAAACCTTCAACTTCAACTCTCCAGCTCTGCACTTCAATTTGAAACAAATCCCATACCTTCTACCTACATGCAAAACAATGAGTTTGTATACAACTGCCCTCACACAGTGGTTATTCATGACTGTTGCAAAAATCATGTATATGACTTGGAGATGGGAGCTCCACGATTGTCAAATTACCAGAGAGTGGAAGAGGAAAAGCAATTTTGTGATAAGTAATGCTCCGACAACCTGACAACACTGTTTTCCCATTACTACAGACAGAATACAGGCAAAATCTATTTTGACTAACACTTTCAAAGCCTCAGAGGCCTTTATAGAGAGTACCATAGAAAATGGAAAGTGTCACACATTGTCCCAGATGATTTTAGAGAGATATTCAAAAAGAACAATGAATGTATGTCGAAAGGATCAATGTGGAATAATCAGGGTAGGAGAAAGAATCTAACAAGAAGCCTGCATAAAACCCTGAGCTTGGGACCAGATTATGTCGAGTGTGCATTGACTTGGAAGTGGATTTGTTAGAATGGCGTCAAACGCATCTGCTGCTCTATTTGATAACAGGACCAAATTAGCTGTCTATATTTCTTTGAATTTGGTCATCAAAGATGTGGAGTGTGATGTTTGGCATGAAGGAAAAGGACCATTGATTGCCAATGAATTCTCTTCTTGTGTCAGTAACTTCCTGGAGGAGCCTACTGACAATGCCATGTTCATTATATGTAACAGTTATGGTTGTACTTATCAGACCACAACGCTATCTTGTCAAATGCAATCAGCGACATTTGTACCAGATAAAACAAAACTGTTGAACACAAATACCATAAAAAAGAACAAACGCAAATGGAAGTGGACATCACACACAGTGTAATCGAAAGGTCCCTGAAAAAGGGTATGGTCTGTGTGCTCATGGATAATCTTGAACATTTTTAAGAAGTAAGACAATATCCCCCCCCTTCCACCCTTCTTTGAAGTTCGATTTCTGGACCATTCAAACCCCGTTGTATCAAAAGCTTGTTGCCATTGATACAAACTGAACAAAAACTGGGAAATCGAACGTTAAAGATGAATGGTCTTTTCTACTTACTCTGTGAGGCCAAAAAGAGTCCTGCTCCTGAAGACCCAACCAAAAAACAGAAATAATTACTTTTAACTGTATAATTACTCTTAAAACTACTATGATTTGCTTTTGCCGATTACTCAAACACCCAAGCAACCATTGGTGTTCATTGAGTGGTGTTGATTAACATGATTCAAACACCTAGACGCCATTATACAGTCACTTAGACAGTTGAATCACGCGGATTTTGGTAAACCGCCTTTGTCCAGTAACTTTTGCAAGAAAGCTTTTTTTCCAAAAAGTAAGTGACAGACCATTGTCTCGTACTTATTACATCATTATTTATTACTTGTTATATCATATACAGAATTTCAGATTCATAGGTACGAGCATAAAGAAATAAAACAGTTTTTTGCTTCTCCTGAAAAATTGTCTCTTGGAACTTAGGCGATTTCCTTTTCACTCACTGTCTGAGCAAGTAAGTTAATCAGAAATTATAAACGTTGCTTTTGATTACTGGTATTTTTCCTTAAGCCTAATCATCTATTCCCACCTCTGTGCTGTTGTTCTGAACTAACCTGACTGATGCTTAGAAGTTCAAGATTCAAATCTTGATTAATGGAATCCAAATTAATACAGTATAAGAAGAGTAGCTCGAATTCATCGGGACCAGCCTCGGTAGTTCGAGGGATTCATAGTTTAAGGGATCCGTGAACAGTGTTATGGCATCAGTTGCGTCAGAGAATCAAGGGAAGCAACAAAGATTGCTACTTTAGGGCCCTTTGATGAGTAAGTGCGGTAGATGAGTATATATAGTTGGTACGGGTAGTCCATCCTTTTTCCCTCCCTCCGCTGGGGCCAGCGATAAGCATGATGGTGACATGAGGAGCAGTAGCGGGGTAGACTGGAAGTGTTTGCTGTTGTTATGCTTTGTTTCTAGTTGGAAGTTGAAGCCATGGTGAAATGAAAAATGAGGTGCTCCATGATGTGTGTGTCGTGTGTATTTGTTTGTGTGTGTGTGTGTGAGTGTGTGTGTGCACGCGTGTTGAGCAGGGCACTAAAAATAGCACAGCTGGCTGCTTCTGTGGAGGAAGAAAGGTGGTATTTTACCTACCTTATCTTTTTCCGTTTTTTTTTTTTTTTAAATTATTTTTTCTCAAGTGCACCTCAAAGGACATTAAATTGACTTTAGACCTCAACGGTGGCGTAATAAGTTCGACTATTTCGTGTTTGTGTTCGAGCTTTGCGTAATTTTCTTACAAAGATAAAGAAGAAGAAAAAACGGGACCTCATGCACAGTATGATGATGCATAATTTCGAGTCTTCTATGTTCGACCTATTTGTGTTATACTATATTTCTTATTCTTCTTCGGGAATCATGTGCTTTACCTGTGCTTGTGAGATGACCATTGAAATGAGCTAGAATATTAGCAAACCTTTTTTAATGTATTCTCTCGACAGCTGCCAATTAGATGTTTATATATATATATATATATATATGTATATATATATATGTATATATATGTATACTTATGAAGCTGCTGTCACTCTTGATTAAATAAATTGCTCAAAGTATAATTTTGCTTCGTCTGGAAGATACTCATCTGCTGGGAACTTAAACAACAGGATAGCTAAAGTTGTGCTTATATCAGCTGCTAACTCTTACAGTTGTAGCCTCTAGACTTGTAGACTTCACTCATTATCTAGAAAATTTGTTGGGCAAAAAAAAGAAAACAAGACCCTGTTTACTAGTACTCACATTTGATGACATCATGTATTGTTGCTTTTGCAGGGTATCCCAACTTTCAGAAGAAGATGTCCCCGTTCTCGCTGCTGAGACAGACTGCTTGCCCTTGTACATTGCTAAAGGAATTGCAATGGCTTGTTTTATATATGCCAGATGCTTGGTGGGTGGGCACAGTTTGAAGCCCAACAAGGAATTAGCCAAAACATATTATTCAAAGGTAAGATCAGGAGCAAATAAGATGCATAGTTTTTTGTCGTTCTCTATTTGTATTAGCTTTTTTTTTGTGCTGGATAGGATTTTATCTCCGAGAACTATAGTGCGGTCAAAAATTTGTGAGGGAACTTTTTGTCGAATATCTCCCCAACTATAGAACCTGGACTCTCCAACTTTTGCACAATGGCTTATATCAAATTTTTTTTTTTAATACCTGTGTGCTGTATTCTAGAAAATTCCTGAATAAATACTAATAAAAGATCCCAGACGATGGTTTCTACAGATTTTAAAAAGGTTACATCCTATCAGCTGGGACAATAGCACTTTTAAAAGCAAGTCTGTCCTACTTCTTCTAATCGTGACACTATGCTTATGGAACTCATGTTTTTAGTGCAATTAGCGATGCACAACTAAACTTTTTTACTCCGTTTCTGCAACCATGGATGATTACATTTTATTTTTGTTCAAATCAAAAAGCACTGGCACCAGCATATCACGACTAAATAGGAGTGAGTTACATTATTCTTCACTCCTTTTACTCATAAGTTACATACTAATTTATTGAGAGTTGTTTGTATTAATTTGTTAAGATTGTTAAACGAATCGCTCATTCTTACCAGTATCAAATAAAGCCAAGAATGATGCCATCAAACCAAGGCACCTTCCTGTCGCAGTATCTGACTACGATTCAGACTAGAAAAAGTATGAGTAGAAATTCTTTACAATTTCACTTGTCATTAGTCAGGAGATCGTAATCGTGCATGGGCTAAAGTTTTACTACTTAAAAGTGTCATTGGTGAGCCATGACGTGGGCCACGTATGTAAGCAAAATTTGTGTAAGAAGCGGGAAATGCTTTGAATGCTTCCATTCTCCATGTGACTGAGATTTGTAGTACTTTATATATAAATTTAATTATGAAGAAAAGTTTTTTAATCAAACCTCAATTGTTGTGGAAAAATATGATTAAGTTAAGACAAATTGATACAAACTGCTGTGTGAAGTATGGATGACTTTGACGCCCCAGTTAAAGAGATATTTTAGGATAAGGTGGGCCACGAATTTTTGACTGCACAATAGGCCCGCTTAATTTTCAAGTATAGGAATGTAAAAGGAAAGTTACCTCTGTGTATTTTTATACTATGATTGCCACATGAATGGTGAACAATAACTGACAAAATGACCTTCTTTCGCACCCCTTGCCCCACTCCCTTCCCCCCCTCCCAACCCCCATCTTCAGCTGAATAATATAATAATTTCCTGTTTAAAGTAAAATGTTGGAAAATCAGTAGGCCCCCTCCTATAAATGTGTGAAGAAAGGAAAAAAATTTGACGAACACGATAGAACATAATTATTTTATTCATGTGATAAAGTCATACCTTGAGAGAAACATAAATAATATGTGTCACGACTTGGTGGAACCAGGCGCTCGTCAATTTTTGGGCATGTGGGGTTTTTAATTGTTGGTGTCATAATATCTTAAAGCCTGTTCATGTGCCTTCCTTTGGTGAAAAAAATATCCGTCTATGTTAAATAGAAGTCAAGAAATTTGCGACTGAAGGTGATGGGGGGTCACCTAGTGGTGTTGGAGGTTAAATAAGCGAGAAAATAGCTTCCAGAATTTGGTAACTTCCCTAGCCTGGTGGTTCTTGGAAACTGAACATTTACATTTTTTGTGCCTTTAATAAATGTTTTTCAATAAAATCCACTCAAAAAATAATGTGTTTTCATATGGATATAAAAGGTGTAGAGCCATAAAAAGAATATTAGATCTAGAAAAAAATTGCCCATCAGACAAAAAATTGGTGATTTCTTTGATTTCATTATTTTGACGAACACCTGATTTCACCACGATGCCTCAAATATGGATATTGTAATGGCCATTTTGTTTAGTGAAAAATCAAGCTTAACCAAATATATGAAGGAAAGACAAGAAGAACACAACAGCGGCACTCTTGAACTAGATCTAGTAGTCATCCTTTCTTGAAGTTACTATTGATCCATGTTACTTATTCCTCTCTTATTTCCCCTCATATCTTACTTCAGTCCTCCCCTTCTTCCTTTTCTTCTTCTGGTGGTAGAATATCAAAATTGAAATAATTGTTCTACCTTATAGTTGGGCTAGTGATGGTGGGCGGTAGCTCTGGTAGCTGGGGTCCATGGTGGGACAGCACTCACTGTGTTAACCCTGTCAGACCTCTGCTACCTTAAACTTCACCCTCCTCCTGGCCTCCATGGTGAAGCTTAGAGTACGAGATCTTTCAATAACCGGTTGACGGGGAATCTTGCATTGATATTGGTCCACTATTTTAGCTTCAACAATATTATTTTCATTAACCTCGCTGGACTGTATTCCCGCCGGTTCTTATTTTAATATTGTTGAAGCTAAAATAGTGGAAGTAGGGGTGGCTGGCTGTGTAGGGTTCCTTTGTTATCCTTCTGTATTATAATTAAAATAACCTAGTTTTTCTCTGAATTACTTTTTTCTAACAGAGCTACAAATTTGATCCCGACGTATGTGCACTTCTTCAACACACAACTCAACAAGGTGCACTCTAGAAAATTGAACCCATGTCTTCGGTTTTCCAAAGAATTTGATGGTGCCATCAATATACAAGTTTCCCAGCCTGCCAAAATGCAGTGGACATGAGATGGACATTATCTCTGCAATGCTTACTCTTTATTACTCCCATGTAAACTTTTCTAGCAGTTATGCTCAAAGATAATATGCTTCCCTGGCCAGTAAGAGAAATACACTCTCTTTCTATAATTTCCACCTGCTGACTTTTTCTGTTTTGTAAAATTGAGTCAAGTTGATTGAAAGATGGTGTATTCATCTCTTTTCTACTTGGCCACACCCTTCTTGCTATGTTATTCATGTAGTTATGAATGTATTTCAAAACCTTCACCTAAATCTGCAGGCCAGAATTTTTAATCCTTCAAATGCCAAACTGGTTGAATTGTGTTTCTTATAATCTTTTCCAACTTTGAATGGATTATACCCATTCATTGTTTGGTCTAGAGAACAGTTCCACATCTTGTTTCTGAAAAGCAAAAATGATTTTATCAGACTTTCAATGATTTACGCTTTTATATTTCGTGGTAAATCTTTGTTTGAAGATGATACTGTAAAATAATGTTGTCTGGATGCTAGTCTGGTTTAAATAATTGTCAGGAATTGTCTTCACTATATAACCAACAAAGTGACAAGGTCATGGCCATTTCTTGATGTCAGGATTTCCATGTCCTGTCCAATGCAACTGTTCTCATGCCCAGAGAAAAGGACGCTGCTGCTGTTCTGCAAAGTGTGCTTAAAGTTTCAAGAGCCGTTGGCCCAATTTGTGATGTTTGAAATCTTTATAAGAACAGTCTAGCACACACATACTGAACACGCACAGAACAAAAAATACACAAAGTGAAAAGATTTTCAGATCCAGAATTTTTTCTTATTATTTATCCTTTGTATTCAGAACATGCCCACAAATCCAAAAAAATTGTTGCCTACATGGCAATAAAAAGTTGTATGAGCAAGCGAGGGTAGATGTACTTAATAAACACAACAGCAAATTTTGTTTACCAAAGTAGCCATGATGAAAGAGAGAGAGAAAGAAAGGAAGAGAGAGAGAGAAAGGGAGAGATCATGGTCAGTACCCATGTAGGCCAATGACTTCTCTACTATAAGTATAAGCCGGGGCACTTTACTTGCATATAATGGAGAGTCTGCAGTGGAAGGCATATAATGTCGCCACATGAGTCAGCCTACTTCCTCTTCAACAGAGATTACACTACTGCACAATAGCTTGTTGGTGTTCTGCAAATGAAGTTAGGTTTGAAGTTGTTGTAGAAAATGAACGATGGCAGAGCATATTATAAGAGCTGGAAAAGCTTTTTGGTGGAGAAAAAGCAGCTTATCATGGCAGAGGTGAATTTAAAAAATCAATGTAAAAATCCCAGATCTGCAAAACGTAGGCCTATGATAATTTTATTTCGTTGGTGACTCAAGCAATCCGCTTTAGGTCCATTTGGACCTACTTTTTACACCAGATAGGCCTTCAAAAAATAGTTTTTGTTGTGTTGTTCCTATATATCAGTAGTCATGAAAAGCAAGAAATCTTTGATAGAGTTTGGGGAGGGGGTAAAAATCGAAAATTCGAAGAATGTGGACTTGAGTAGATTCTTTGCGTCAGCAACGAGATAAAAAGAATTTAAAAACCACGAATCCAACACACATCATGTACGCATGGTGTCGTGACAAAGGGGACATAATTCATGTAAAATTTGGACCCAATTATCCAACTTGTCTATCTCCCTTGATATAGCCTGAAATTACGTTGTGAAAGGGTATCTGCGTCCTACCAATTTCTCTTTCCGCGTGCTATGGGTTTTAAAATGAGCAGTATAATTTGCAATGACAAGCTATACAAAAAAGTAAAGAAGGAATATATCCTGTCAATGTGAATTAGATCTACTCCTTAAGTAAATTAATGTCTTCTGCTATGTGCACATGTTGAGTTCAATAATAGTCAAGTAAAGAGATTTCTATTTCTGTTTTGTAATGGTTTTTATTGTTTTCATTGTTGTTGTTGTTCTTTATTTATGAAGATGATGTGTGTGATATTTACTCTTTCTGCCACATATTTTTCAACAAGATTTATGTTCTGACAATCATTTCTAATACAGCTTGTCCAGACCTGAAAGCAGCCACTGAAGATAATGTGTCACAATGCGGTGGAATCAGGCGCTCGTCAATTTTTGGGCCTATGGGGTTATAAGTATCGTCTTAAATCTTTTTTATTTGTCTTTCATTTGGGACAAAAAATACCCAGCTATCTTGAATAGAAGTCAAGATATTTGCGACTGAAGGAGGTGGGGGTCACCTGGTGTCAGAGGTAAAATTAGCGAGAAAATGGCCGCCAAAGTTTGGTGACTTCAAAGCTTGAGTGTCCTTGGAAACTGCAAATTTATATTTTTTTGTACTTTTGTGAAATATTTTTCAGTAAAATCCACATAGAAATGTGTTCTTAAATGCACGTAGAAGATATTAAAGCCACAAAATGAAATGTTGAAAAAAATTGCCCAATGGCTAGAAAAATGCTGGTTTCCTTAATGACATTATATTGATGTGTGCCTCATTTCAGCAGGCTGCCTGACATATAAACTTTCAGAAATAGATGGATGTTTCCAATTCTTTTTCTTTCAGTGACATCAGAAGATGACCTGTTATTAAGTGTGAGAAAATGGTAAAGCTGAACCCCATTTTGTGGCTGGACAAATTTGTTCCTTTTGAAAATTGATTTGTCTTCAGGCTCATACAAATCACATTTTATGCTCAGATTACTTTTTTTTTTCTTCTTTTTTTTCTTTCTAGCCTACTGCTTATTAGGAAATTTATTTCCCAGCATTTTGATATAGATCTGTAACTCATTTAAATTTCTCTTTAAAGATTTCAAATAAATGTGCTACGACATGGTAGAATCAGGCACTCGTCAATTTTTGGGCATGTGGAGTTAATAGTATCGTCTAAAAGCTGATTTATTTGCCTTGCTTCCAATGAAATAAATGTCTATTTATCTTGAATAGAACTCAAGATATCTGCCTTTGAAGTAAATGAGGTCGCCTGGTTTCAGTGATGAAATTGGCGAGAAAATGGCCGCCAAAGTTTGGTAACGCCAATAGCTAAAGAGTCTTTGAAAACTGAAAAATGACATAATCTGTGCCTTTAATCAATGTTTTTCAGTAAAATACACATGGAAATGTGTTTTTATAATATGGATGTAAAAGAGGTAAAGCCAAAAAAATAAAGATTTGATAAAAATGTCCACACTAGCGGGAAAATGCTTTTTTCTCAGATTTCGTTATTTTGACGAGCGCCTGATTTCACCATGCTGCGCCTAACAAATTATATTTGTTGACTACGTATTTGTAGTCTGACAGTAAAAAGTGGCCACCAGAGAATGGCTTCGTCACAGTGAGGAAGACTTGTCCTGCTGTAAGGTTTTTATAACATTGGCCTGTTGTCTCTATTCTGTTTCCTAAGTTTAACCCCCTTTCTTGTCAGCTGAAAAACCTTTTCATTCAAATTAATTTTAAGAAGATGTTTTAGTGTGTGCTCTTAATAAGATTACTCTTATTCCCAAATATTTTTCGAGTGTGTTTGTTCAGATCTCCACAATAAGTTGACTGTTTATTTTTTTACATACTTGTTAATGTGTTTGTTAAGGCTGCCTTTATAAAAAAAAAACCCAAATTATCATGACCTTTTGTCATTGTTCTTTCCTGATATAACTATCTTGAAGCTGCATTTCCAAGAAAAAAAAACTGTTTTGATGCAGAAAATAGAAAAGGTTTTGACGGGAACCCCATCCCCCCGCCCGCCAGGCTCACACATTTAATAAAGAATCATTGCGCATTTGAGGTTGTTCGAAAAAAATATTTGAAAAGCAGGCTTTGTTGCGTCCCTTTTCTTGTCACTTGTGTGACCTTGTTTATGTTTCTATGAGTGTTCTTCATGTTGTGATTGGGTGTAAATCTCGATATATATAAACTAACTCAACTCACTGTGAGTCAGTAAGAAAAGTCGCCGATGAATAAACATGAAAAATGTTTAATGCTGAACTTGTAACTTTTTGGTCCAATCAGCCCCATCTCAAAGAGTTACTGGTCTAACTCATCAGCTCCCCCCCGGGGCGGTACCACTGACTGAAGTGTCTTTAGGCCATTCCCAAAGGGGGGGGGGACATTTCGTATTCTAATGCACAGTAGAATTGTAAATAGACTGATCCAACAAAAATTTAATGTCATGCTCAAATCTGTGCCTGAACTACAACAGGGAACTGCTGCTTTTTCCTTACTATCGTCATTTTCCTCTACTTCTTTTGTATGTTTGTCACACTCTTGTGACCCTCTATTTCCAGGGTGCCTTGATAGTCGAAGCTGACTTTGTGCTATTAAAGCTAGAGAGATGAGCAGAGTAAGTCTGATTCCCTGTAAGGACTTCTCTGTTTGACATCCACCCCTTGCTGCTCATATGAACTTATGCAGTTGCGAGTGCAGTAAAACCTCTACTTAAACTAAAAAAACTAACTCATCAGCTTGAAGTTCCAGCAGTAGATCAAATTATAGCTTGTTCATTTTCGTCTGCTGTGTTACTGTACTGGTATACTATTTATAAGTGATCCCATGTATGCACTATGCACCCAAGGGGCGGTGTTAAGTCTAATATGGCCCATAAAGAAAAACTTTCTTTTCCCTGAATCAAGATTCTATTTTTTTTCTTGCTGGCCCATGATCGAGTGCCTTGCAAAGTTTCATGCGCATTAATAAATGAACTAGAATTTTTCGAACGCTGTCAGATAAAAGTTAACAAGCTATAACTCAGGATCCGTCAAGAAATCAGAATTCTGGACCAAAGTCACTGAATGTTTTGTTTGCGAGAATAATAGAAGCACGTTAGCATCAAAATCATCTTCCAAGATCACACCAAATATTATGATTATGTGGTCAATGGACTGGACATGATATAATATAGATTTAGCTGAAGAAGTCCAGTCACAGTCGCTCATCAAGCCAACTCCTGCAAACGAATGCGACTGTCTAAAAAGAGTTTTAATACACATGTACAGACCTTGGGCAACCTCACGTCCAGAAGAACACTGAACTTCTAAATCATAAGAGACTTGGGGGAGAAACGTCCATTTGCATTCATGCGCCAAACAAACGCCCAAACTCTAAATGACATCAAAACACTCAAACAAGCTTTACTCCTCGTGAACCTTTCCTCGAGTATCAGGGGTATATTAGCCGGATACAGTGGAAACCTGATATAACAGGGATGGTGGGACCAGAGAAAAGGCAAAATGTTAAATCAGAAATGCAAGGGAAGTAAGCATTTGTGGACTAATCCAGCTGTATTTATTCATGGGTAGTTTCCCTTGCCGTAAGTACCATTTGGCGGGCCTGCGCATGACACATTACACATGTGCATGTCGTTAGGCTTAGGGCAAGGTGGTTGTTTTAAGCTCCTGCTAGATCGAAGTCTGCAGCATGCCGAGCACGCCGCAGCCCTCTCTTGCTTCTCCCACTCTGTGTACTTGCAATGGCGTGGCTTACGTGGGCTTGCTCCCTCACTGCGTTACTCTCTCTCTCTCTCTCTCTCTCTCTCTCTCTCTCTCTCTCTCTCTCTCTCTCTCTCACACACACACACACACTTTTTAAACACATTGTTAACAAGCCTTTGTCCCTGCTATAACCGGTTGGGCTCCGATGAGGCTGTGTTATTGCCGATAACTTTTAATAGAGACAAAGAGTAGGAAAAAACGGGGATTTATAAAATTCCTGTTATTACCGGATCCCTGTTATTACCGGGCCTGTTATATGATAATATGGTTTCCACTGTACAGACGCACGAACAGAAACAGCAGATTTGATCATAATGATTGGAATAATATTACAGCGCTATAGATCCACATGTATTTTATGTAGCGCAAATTCCCGCTCAACTTTAAGCTCTGTGCTTTACAATGATTTGGGAGGCGTATACCGTAGAAGTACAACACATTATTTCCACGTCCTCAACTCCCGCTCCGAGAGGCGGATTGTCGTTGGATGTGACCACAGCAGTCTCAGAGGGGGCAATCCCCGCCATCAAGATAAGTGGTCCTCCTTCACAACAGGTTTCGACTCGCTCTGTGTGTACCATCGGCGATTTGGACCAGACGCCAGACACCCATTTCTGTCAAACCGGCTGCAAATTTTCTACGTTGATCACCAAAACATGCGGGACACTCCGTTTTCAGAAAATGCTAAAGCAACTGCTAACCTTCAATGCCGGGGCCCGTTGTGCGGGTCACGTGATCTATACTAACATAGCCTAGGCCTAAATCTAGATCTATAGGTATTTATCATAGAAAACAAACAAATAGCAACAACAACAACAACAACAACAACAACAACAGCGAAAACCCAAATCACAACATGGAGCTACATAGGGCCGGATTAAGGGGAAAGCTCAATAAGAGGCTGAGGTCCTGGGCCACCCACCAAAGAGAGAGGGGGTGGCGCCTCCCACCGCGCACCATTAATACGTACTATGCCTCTTTCTGGGATGGATCCTGAAGAGGAGGGGAGAGCAGAGATGGACATGTTCCGAGTGCAGTGACCCCAACACAGTGGACAAGTAAGTAAATAAGACTATGCCTCTATGAGGACTTCAGTAACGTTATCATAATATGTATATCGGCGACTTTGCTGCACGAAAATCAAGGGAAGTATCGCTCTGAACTAATATATCTAGTTAGGCCTATAACTCATTGCATTCTCTCGTTTGAACTAACTACGTGTTAGGTAAAGGCCTGTTCTACCTTTTTAATAAAAAATTACAGAATTTTAACTGAATTACTCTGTGTAAATACATTTGGTAAGACAATTTTATTTCATGTCATTTTTGTTTCATGTTTATGTCTTGCCCTAAGGCTACATAATGAAATAATATTATAACGTTGGGGAAAATAGTCTCCGCTCAGTAGGCATAAAAGTGTTATTTTTATG